AGATAGATAGATAGATAGATAGATAGATAGATAGATAGATAGATAGACAGACAGACAGACAGACAGACAGACAGACAGACAGACAGGTCTGAGCTGCAAAAATCCAGATAACCACTAGAGTAGCAAGAGTTAATTTTCTGTTTCTTTTTCTCTACTGCAGGAAAATCATATAGTACACATAACTATTTTAGCTGTAAACAACCCAGTTACTCTAATTACATAGGTAGGTAGGTAGGTAGATTGCAAGAGCTGAACTGCAAAAATCCAGATAACCACTAGAGAGTAGAAAAGAGTTTTCTGTTTCTTTTTCTCTGCCGTGTAAATTTTCCAGATGTCTGCAGTCCAGATCCAATAGCCCCAGCACACACACACACACACACACACTTCTAAGCATCTATTTCACGTGTGTCAAACTCATGGCATCACATGACGTTTTTTTCCCTTCACAGAACTGGCCGTGGCCTGCTTGTGACACATCCGGCCTGCCGGCAATTTCACTCCCTGACCTATTTTGTTAAGAGCCTGAATGCATATGTTACAACTATACAAGGCTATAAAGACCTACAGTCTTTTCTTCCGCATAACCCAACATCAACAGCATAATAAACTTCTTGAAGGGGGGGGGGGCGGGAGAGACCCCCCTATGTGTCTCATCTGCTTTCTCTTGTATGATTGCATTTCTGACTTGTTTGCAAGAGTAAGACACAAGTTCGGGACTCCAAGTCAGCTCTGACTGTCAGGGATGATGGGAAGGTTAGCTGCCTTTTGCAAGAAGGAAGTTGCTGAGGTGTCAAAGGAGTGGTGGGGGCCACTGGGAACTTCATGAATAGGGTGGGAGTTTCTGGAAGAGGGATTTACTGTATTTATTAAAATCACACACTGCCTTGTCTTTGGAAAGTTCAGACAAGTTTACATATGCTTGCCAAGCGATTTTTTTTTTTTTAAATCCAGATTGCTGCTAACATAACCAGGCTAGCTTAGCTCCAGAATTAGTATGGCTCTGGACTATACTTCCTAGGCACCAATGACCCAGTACTCTTCAATCTAGTTGCTTTCCTTACAAAAGATATCGGTGCACAACTAACAGAAATCACAATTACAGGTAGTTCTCGGCCTACGATCAGAACTGAGCCCAAAATTTCTCTGGCTAAGTGTGACAGTTGTTAAGTGAGCCTTGCCCGTTTTACGACATTTCTGGCCACAGTTGTGAAGTGAATCATAGCACTTATTAAATCAGTAACACGGTTAATTAAATGCATCTGGCTTCCCCACTGACTTTGCTTGTCAGAAGGCCCCCAAATCACACGATCTGGGGACACTGCAACTGTGCTAAGTATGAACCAATTGCCAAGCACCCATATTTTGATCATGTGACAACGGGAATGTGGCAACGTTCATCAGACTGAAAAAAGGGTCATAAGTCACTTTTGTCAGTGCTGTTGTAACTTTGAATGGTCGCTAAATGAACTGTTTTAAGTCAAGGACTACCTCTAACCGCTTATTTCAGCTAAGCCTTTCACTCAGAGCTCTGTTCTAATATTCAGTTATCATGCATCTGTTTTGAGCAATAGCCAAATGAGTAAAATATATCAACAAGAGTACTTTTTCTGTGTATTCTTAGTTCTAAACACTGAGTGTGTTCGCAGTTAAAGCAGAATGGCAAAAAAACCCAGCCTATATATTTCTAAAGGAGAAAAGAACAAACGCTTGGTTTGAATCCTCGGCAATGGGGAGACAGGTTGGTGAACCAAGAAGTTGGGTTGATCGACTAACTCCATGCTCTAGAACAGGGGTGTCAAACTAAAGGCCCGTGGGCCAAATCCAGCCTGTGGGGTATTTAGATATGGCCCAAGGGGCCACCTTGGAAACAGCAAAGGACTGGCCCGCAGTGCTTCAGCCAGAGAAAATGGAGCTCGGGAGGGCTGCACACGGTTTGTTTTCACCGGCAGAGGGTTGCAGGAGCCGTCCTGGCTGAGAGCGTAGTTTTTGCTGGCAGAGGGTTGAGGGAGGCCATCCCAGCTGACAATGGAGCTCAGGAGCCCGTTTTCGCTGACAGAGCGCTCAAGCCAGCACAGGCGCCCCCGACATGAGTGACATCGACCT